CCTATATGAAGATATAGCTCGTTTGCGATATCCTGATAATCTGGGTTATTGATGCTCCATCATTCTAATTTAAAACCCAAAAAAATATATATTGTTTATTCCATAAAATACAAATACATCCGTTTGTATAACTTAAAAAATATTGCGATAAAGCGATATTCAAATATTCAATATTTTGTAAGTTTTGTTTGGTAATGAGAGTAGGTATACGATTCCCCATAAATATAGCTCCCAGTATACATTTTAAATGCTCATAAATGTCTTAATTATTATACAATTGTTATAAATCTTTTGTAAAGCATCGGCAATCATATAAGATCCCGTTTAGAATATGATTTTAACGTTCATTGATTAAAAATGTCAATATAAAGAACTGTTCTGTTAAAATTTCGACGCACTGTGCTTTAAATTGTAGCACAATCTACAAAAACAATTAAATAATCAATTCGAAAGAAGAAAAACTTAATATTTGAAGTAAATAGTAATTTTTGGATTTGTTTTATCAATATTATTATTATTGTTTTCAATATTTATTTAATTCTTTTCTAATGTTTTTGATTTTACAAAAGTATTATTTGCAAAAACACAGCTGTTCATTGTTTATGTTTTTGACTGAATAAAGGTGGAAGTACACAACACATGTTGAGGCGACAACGCATTTTACGCTTTTCAAACTTTTCGCACTTTACCTGCTGCAAGTTACACACCACGCTTCATTCTTTTAATGTTTTTTACTATTTTAAAAATCAAAATTTTAAGTTTTTGTTTATTTGTTAATATTTTTCATTCATTGTTGTTTAAATTTATTTCATTTTAGTTTATTCTTATTCTACGCAGCTGCCGATGCGTCAAAAGTGGCTGAACTTTTCGCGGCAAACGCGTTACAAACTACAGTGTGTAACTTGTTAGATGAAAATTCACTTTTTCAACTTTTTTTGACAGAAGCCTATAACGGGTTGCCGCGTACAACGCGTTTGCAATACTAACAAACTTAACTACTCTTAAAGCCATTACTGAAAAACACAATTATCGTTTAAAGTCCACTTTCCGTTGCGAGTTTAATCTAACAGCGAGTTAACCCACATTTAACTGAGTATGTAGTTAAAAACCCGCCCTGTCATTGTGCAAAATGTCAAATAAATAATACAATTTTAAGAAATTTTTGATTATTGTTTCACCAAATATCAAATTCTATTTTTAACACTAACTTAGCACAGACACTCCTTACTACATACCTACATATTGTAATTAATTATCAGGTGTGGCTCATTTATTTCTGATCATACTGTAGAAATATTTGCTATTCTCACATAAATTTTTCAAGTACATACATACTTGTTTGGAAATTAGAAAAAAACACTATTTCCAAATTTTAATTAAAAAAACCAGTTTTACTATATAAAAGAAACATTAAACCAATAAGTCAATGTAGTTCAATTTTTGATTTCATTTGGATTTCTTTCTGTTTTATTTAGTTCCCCAACATTTCTTTTTTGTACATACTTGTTAGTAGCAGAGTTTTTTATGGCCAATAATATGATTTTATTTATTGTTCGCTTTAAGTTTATTTGAGACAACACGTTGTCTTGTTATTTTGTTTAAAGAAAATAAAATCAAAATAAAGTGGGCGGCGCTTAAAGAAAAATACTACAGAAAGCCGGCATTTTTTTAAAACTGGTTTCTTTTTTCTTTATTTGTATTAATTCTGTATTAATGATCATTAAATATGATTTACATATTTTTTGGAGGGAATTTGTGTTACAATCAAGTGAAATACATAGTTGATAGAGCGCACAGGTGTCTTCGATATTATATCGCAAACGAAAACTATGTAAATTACTATAATTTTTAATGAAAACAAACAAAAAATACTTGATTTTAAAACAAGAAATTGAACATATAAAACTAGATTTTTTTAGCTTTATTATATAGTCTGTGATTTACCAAATAGACAAATCAAACACCGTCGGAATCCCGATGTTTATATGAAATGTTTTATTCGAATAAATAAATAAACCAGTTGTTTTTTCTTCAATATTTTCAATAAATTTGTGAATTTATCTCTACTTTTTTCATATTAGTTAATATAAAGATATAATAATGTAAAACGATTGATTGGTTCTAAAGTTATAATTGACTAAATGATAAAACAGTTTGGGTCATGCTTTAGTATATTAAAATTGTTTAATTGAAATTTAATAATGGTTAAACAGATAACAATATTTGCATTAAATCAACAGTTTTATTTTGACAAAAGTTCAGTGGGTTCAGTGTATTTAGTACTTTCAAGGTTAATTCCCCCGCAAACAAAGTAGAAATGTCAACAACGATTTTGTTTTAACGCAAAGCGAACTCCATTTATTTTAAAGGAACATTTAAATGTTAACACTTCGTATTCTTGATATTTGTCAAATCTTCTACGATTTTACAACATTAGACACATCAGCCATAAATAGAACTGGAAACTGGCTCTGATATCATAAGAAGTCGAAAAGAGATGTCCTAATCTTTACCGACAATGAAGCTACAATCAAGTTTCTGATGCCAGACAAAATAGCTCTACAAATGTCCGTTTCGGACTTATACCATTTCTATAGTAGACAGTTCGAAGCAAAGTAAATTTATAAAGTAGACTCATTTGAACAGCTGACTATTTTTTTTAAACTTGCCATTTGTGGACTTACTTGTCAAAAATGTTTATGTTGCCATATTTGTTTTCATTTTAACGCTAGCTTTTGTACAAATTTCTGAGTAATTTGTTGTATTTAATGTGAAAAAGAGTATTTTAAGTATATAATATTTTTAAAAATGTTCTAATTTTTAAAAAATAAAGAAAACTCTGTGACTTTTAATATAAATAACAACATATTTTTGGAAAGTACAACAATAATGCCATATTTTCCATTAATTATTAGTTCACTTTTGTAAACAAATTTTGACAAGTGAGTATTTCGAACAAAAACAAATTGCCTGTGGTTTTTGTAGACGTTTGTTGTACAACAACTAGTGTCGCTACTTTATTAATTTACTTTGGTTCGAAGTATGCAAAAGAACGCATAAACAACATGTTCTACGAACTCTCTCAGGCAAAATGGAGAAAGAAACCAACATGTATCTTTGGAGGAAGATATGGCAACCGCTTAACGGACTATCTTCTGAAACAAAGCTAATCCTAACTTAGCAACTTTTATCACAATTAAACAAGATAACATAAACGCCTTTATCAGGCATTGCGGTTGACTTGATGAAAATGCCTTTATCAGGTATTGCAGTTGATTTGATATAATGCAGCTCAACAGTACTGACTAGTAGCTCTTAGAGTCCAAGACTCTAATATAGGTCATCAATTTTCATCTTTTGCATTCTACTCTTGCCTCCTACTACAATTTCTTCTTTCCTATTTTCACTTCTAAAAATCTTCTTAGAGCTATCACAAACGGATCAAAGGGACCCACGTGTGCGTCTTTCGCAGCCAGAAGAACCAACCAACCAGTACATTCTTTATTCAATTAGTTTATTGATTAGTTAGTTAGTTGGTTAGTTAGTTAGTTAGTTGGTTAGTTAGTTAGTTGGTTAGTTAGTTAGTTAGTTAGTTAGTTAGTTAGTTAGTTAGTTAGTTAGTTAGTTAGTTAGTTAGTTAGTTAGTTAGTTAGTTAGTTAGTTAGTTAGTTAGTTAGTTAGTTAGTTAGTTAGTTAGTTAGTTAGTTAGTTAGTTAGTTAGTTAGTTAGTTAGTTAGTTAGTTAGTTAGTTAGTTAGTTAGTTAGTTAGTTAGTTGATTTTAAGTGTTTTTTTCAACTTGTTCCAAGAAGTTGCTTCGGAAGTGTTCCATTGGAATTTATAACTAGTACCAAAGAATTAGTTCTTTGGAAACTCTTAAAATGTACTTTGGAACTACAACAAAGGATTCTAAAAGTAATACAAGCATCACTAGTTCCTAGTTTCTATTCAAAAATCTCAAGTGTTTATGTTTACACGCGATTGGAAAATTATTCCTGACGGGTTTTTTTCTTAACCCTAATGCCCTCATGCCAATGATAAATACTGGTAATTTTTTCTTATTTCAGTTGTTTAAGATTTACGAAAAACATTTGTACTCATTAACTTGGAAACATGTTTTGACGGATTTGCCTAAAAAAATAAGAACAACAACAAACAAACAAATAAAGTTCATTATCCATTATGGCTTAACATGTCAAAATAATTAAAAACAAAACTTTTTTCTCTTTTCACTCTTTCAAATAAACATTTACAATCTTTTCTTTTTGAAATTCAGTTATTTTGGTCCGACAGTCGGTTGGTAGTCATGTTTTGACAATTATAGAAGGTTAATGATCTTAACAATTGTGCGTGTGCTTAAACAATATGAACTGTTAAAAAGATTAGTAATTTTAAGAAGGAAACTGAAAAATAAACACAATTACCAGAGATTTCTTTTAATATAAAAGAAACATTGTTATCGCACATTTCTTATGTCATTCATGGTCTTCCAGTGGAGATTTATGTTTTAAGATTTGATGAACCTAAAGTAAATTTAATTTGTTAATGTAATTAAAAATATTTTTTGTAAGCGGCTTTATGCAAGTTAAAATTTTATTCAGTCATTACTTAAAAATGTTTGTTAATTTAAAAAACTGGATTTTTTTCTAACTAAACCACCATTTTGAATGTACAGTGTGTTTGCTAAGAAAAAAAATTTAATTTAATATTTAAAAAAACAACTTAAATACAAATTTAAAGCTCTAACTTAGCAATGAATATTGAAATAGAACAAATAAACTTTTTATATATAACCGCTTCTTTTTGACTTTTCTTTTCACAGACCATTTGATCAGACAATTTCACATGTTATTGTTAATTAAACAATTGTTGTGTGTTATTAAAATAAATAAAGAAATATTCTTTGTTTAAAATTATTTGAATTATTAGTAATCCAAAAAATAAGCTACCTTTTGTTAAATAAATATTTAATTATTGGAATTTTTATTTTTTCTATTTACAGGATTTCAATGAACAATGTCCCTACTCATTATCACCTGTAAGCACAAAAAGTCAAAAACTTTTACGTTCTCCCCGCAAGGCAACAAGAAAAATATCCCGCATACCCTTCAAAGTAAGTTTTAAAAAAATAAATTTAATTTAAATTTCGAAATTTGTTAATTTTCTTTATTTTTTAAATTCCAAAAGGTTTTGGATGCTCCTGAATTACAAGATGATTTCTATTTAAATTTAGTCGATTGGTCATCACAAAATGTCTTGGCTGTGGGTTTAGGTAGTTGTGTTTACCTATGGAGTGCCTGTACAAGTCAAGTATGTTATTAATATCTATTTGCTTTTTTAATTAGTTATTAGTTTTGCAAACTTCTGTTTAACTTTCCAAATATTGTTTGTTTATTTAATTTTTTGCTATTTTTTTTAATTTGTTTCTTTTAGGTAACACGTTTGTGTGACCTTAGCCCTGATGCAAATACTGTGACATCAGTTTCATGGAATGAACGTGGTAATTTAGTAGCTGTTGGTACACATCATGGTTATGTTACGGTATGGGATGTTGCTGCTAGTAAACAGGTGTGTATACTTAATAATATTTACTTCGATCTTTCATATTTTGATGTAAAGACAACATACAGTTTATCGCTAATTTTCTAAAAGTAGAGTATTTCATAAAAAATTTCTTTAAATAGCTGAGACCGTATATAAGGGATCTACATTTTTTCAGTAAATCCCATATGTTGCACTTTTTATAAGTGGTTAAGAGAATAGGAATAGAAAAATCAAATAACTCTCGACCATTAGACACTATCCAGTCGTTTTTATTTGGCCTTTCAATATTCGATTTTTGTGTAGCAATGACTTAACTGCAGAACGTTATATAGTCACTTTGAGGTCAAGGTAGTTAGGTGCACTGTGAGGGCCTAGCTAGTGTATAAAGAAACTAGTGGCTAACAAAAACTCTCACCATAAGGGTAGTATGCTGTTATATGTTAGTTGCCATGACCGCACATGTTCCGTCACTCTATGAGATGCTCTGTCTGAATTTACAAACTCGTGGGTATAATAGTATACGCACAATTGGGACGAACGACGAATTTTTCGGAACGAATATTCATCGTCAGAAATAGAACACACTTGGGTATATGAAAATGTACACAATCATTGAGTATGACGAAATTCGTCGTACGTAACGAACTATGCAATAGGTTTATTTCTATTTCTTACGCAGACGAACGACGAATTAATTGGGGAAAATTGTTTTAAAACCAATTCCGGTAGCCCGAATTTGCTGAAATTTGGCAGTCTGGAGTATACTTGATGACACTACAATGTTATGTTGGAATATTTAAAATTAAGTTCGAAAATTCGAAGTAATGTTCGAAAAAATTTTGAAGCTGTTAAAATAATCTCAAAATTGGGGAAATTCACAAAAATATAATTTTAGTTCTTTTCGAGGCCAATTTCTTACATTTTCTAATTTCGAAATAATGTTCGAATAAATTTTAAAGCTCTTAAAATTATCAAAATCGTGGAGATTCACAAAAATATAATTTTTGTTCCTTTTTCTTACTTTTTCTAATTTCGAACAAACAAATATTGAAACGAATTCGCAGTACGAATAATTTGATTGTGTTCCATTCGACTAATTTACGCAACGAATTTTTGTCGACTAGTTCGTCGTGCTATACGAAATTCGTCGTTCGTTGTGCGTATACCATAATATTGAAATTCTGAATACATTATAAGAAAGGAAAGGGAAACAACTGGTTGTACTGGGGGTTAAGCTAGAAATAGGCAGGGCTATCGTGATCGTTAAAAGGATAATACGTGAGAGGGGGCCTGGCCTGGACATTTAGGCGAGAATTGTCATTCGGCAGAGGAGGACGACCCTGGGGAAAACAACTTTTTGTAATTTAATGGCGCCGTTTCTTCTCTATTTGCCGGATGGATTAAATTAAAAAGCACTTAAGTTTTTGTTAACAAATTTATTTTATTGAGACACATATTGATATTTGTATCTAGTATATTGACTAGTATTTAAACTATTCTATAAAATAGTATATTGACAAGCCTATGCACTAGTCAATTGTAAAATGTATCAAGTAGTTTATTGTCTACTCTGTGAACTCATCTATTAACTATTCTATGTACTAGTTTATTGACTCTTCTAGGGATTCATCTATTGATTAGTATATTGACTTTAATATTGATACATCTATTGATGCAACAAAATTTTACAACGATTTTAAAATGACAAAAAAAATGGTAACAATGTCTAAAAATATGTAATGATCATTTCAATTTCACACATTGTCTTTATATTTCTAACACGATTTGAAATAAAACAAAATGCGGGTATGCTGAGCTAGATAGAGAACAAGACCTTTTATAACCTATCACTTTTGAACCCAAAATATCAATTTGCTATTGTTGTTATAAAGGTGTAAGTCCATGCATTACTTTGCGTTATTTTCTTCCCTATTATAACAAATAATGGTTAATTGAATGTGAATCTTTTTTTTTAAAAGAATTTAGGTAGTTTTCAAAAATACCAGCATTAGAGTTAATGTAAATTTGTTTTCTATTTAGAAAATTTCATGACTTTTTTTACAATACTCCATATGGTGGTGAACATTATAAAAAGCGCGTAACAAACCCATATATAAACTATAAAAACAATTAACAATTCATACAAAATTTAAATATTTTAGTATATAAGTATGTTCATAGAAAATGAGATCGAAAATTAGTTCAATTTGAAGATACAGTATCAGGGTTTTGTTAAAATTTATATTTTCCCACAGTTGTTTAGTTTATTTATTTAAATGCCAACTAAAAAGTAATTAAATTCATAAAATAAATAGTTAATTTTGAAGAAAATAGTAAATATTCAGAAAATATATATATTATGTAGTTCCAATTTATGATTTGCCAAACATTTCCCGTAACAGTCGTTATTTTACTTGTTTAGCAACAAAATTGTGTTTATTATTAATGCCTAAAACTATGCTTTATTTTCTTTTAGTAAACATATTCAAAGTAACTCATTTTATTTTATTATTTATTCCCATTGCAGATCAACAAATTAAATGGACATTCTGCTCGTGTTGGAGCTTTAGCCTGGAATGGTGATATTCTTTCGAGTGGTTCCCGAGATCGTCTTATCATACAAAGAGATACACGCACACCAGCCCAACAATCCGAACGTCGCTTAGTTGGCCACCGTCAAGAAGTTTGTGGCTTAAAATGGTCTCCTGATAATCAATATTTAGCTAGTGGCGGTAATGATAATCGTCTATATGTCTGGAATCAACATTCCCTTAATCCGGTACAATCCTACACCGAACATATGGCCGCTGTTAAAGCTATTGCATGGTCACCACATCATCATGGTCTATTGGCAAGTGGTGGCGGTACAGCTGATCGTTGTATACGTTTTTGGAATACTTTAACCGGACAACCTATGCAATGTGTAGACACTGGCTCACAAGTGTGTAATTTAGCCTGGTCGAAACACTCATCGGAGTTGGTGTCAACTCATGGTTATTCTCAAAATCAAATTTTAGTATGGAAATATCCCTCCCTAACACAAGTGGCTAAATTGACCGGCCACTCATATCGTGTACTCTATTTGGCTCTAAGTCCTGATGGTGAAGCTATTGTTACAGGAGCTGGCGATGAGACATTACGTTTTTGGAATGTGTTTAGTAAAGCTAGAAGTCAAAAGGAAAATAAATCGGTTTTAAATTTATTTACAAATATTAGATAATTTTCTAGCAGGAAAACAAAAGGACTAAACAAAAACGTTTTGACTAGTAACTTATACAAATGTATGTATATGTAATCATCATAATTTAGGAACAAATCAACAAAAAAAATCGCCAACATTAAACAACTACAACAACTTGAGTTATCATCCATCTTCATTTTATGTTAAAGCAAATCACCAAAAATCTATTAAGAGAAAAAACCAAACTTATTATTTTTTTTTGCTATTTTTATAGATTTGTTTTTCTTTTTTAACAATTATTTCTATATAACACCTCAATTATTGAGAGTTTGTTGTGTCATTTACATATATTTTCTCAACTGTTGCTATAAACAATTATATATTTTTCTATACAAACAACTTTTGTCCTATAATTATACAAATTAACAAAAAATAACTATTAATTTAATGAAAGAATATGTTTTAATTTTTTATCTATTTTATTATTTTCTTTTTTTTATTATTTAACAAGGTTTTAGCAATTTTATTATACCAATTTATACATTTATAATGTATTTAGCTTGTTTATTTTTTATTATTTTTTTTTCTTAGCTTTTAGTTTAGTAAAATTATTTTATAGTTTTTTTTCTAATTTTTTTCTGAGATAAATAGGGCCGCCGCATATATTCTTAATTTTGAAACTTTTTTTGTGAATTTAGTTTTTTTTATATAAATTTACAAAATTTTATAACTTAACTTGGATTTGTAAAATAATTTTTTCTTGGAAATTTTATGTAATAACTTTAAAAAAACTGAATTTTGATTTATGCTGTAATGAAAATGAAAAAAAAAAACTTTTTGATAAAACAAATAAATTTGTTGTAAAATTTATAATATAAACAATAAACATGTGTTGGTAAAACTTTAATGAATGCTAATAATTAACAAAGAGGAATTAGGAGTTATGATTCTTTATTCTTAATCAAATTATTGATGATAAATTAAGATTAACAGGAAATATTTTTGGAAACAATATTTCAAAATTTACTAAGAAAAAACTGCTCGATCTTCCTAATTAAAATTAAAGTTTCTTGAAAAAAGTGTCTTACTTTGTTGAACCAGTTCAAAAATATCCAAAGGAATGTAAAGAGATCATTATAATCCTTCGATATACTGTAAAAAATCTCAACAACATTTAAAGTCTGAACAAAATAAACTTTAATTTTAGTTGGCAACATCGATACTGTATTCTTTAAAACGAATAGACCGATTGTGCAGTGCTATAACGGAATTCCATTCCGATAAAAACTGAAATTGTTTATGTATTTTGCTTCTTAAGAAAAACTAAAATTTCTTTCCCATGGAACCATTTTTAGTTTAAAGCGGAATTGAAATTAGTTTTTCTTAAAGATTATTAAATCATTAGTTAGTTAGTTAGTTGGAAAGAGGGATGTATGTTACACCGAATCCAAACAAATACATCTAGGCCACCATCGTTGTGCTTTCCTTTACAAGTGTCTCTGATGGGAATCGAACCCACGACCTACGGTCTGACAGATTAGAACTCTAAATACTAATCTATCGAAAACACTTTATTAAAAATAATAAGCAATTTTAAAAACAAATTGAATTTTCTGTGAATTAACAAAACTATTAGGATTTTGAAATCAATGCGATTGGTATGTTTGATAGGTCTGATACAAATATTTTAGGGTTTGCAGAGGTACAATTGATTTAAAATTTAAATTATTGATTCTTGGAAAAAGACTTAATAATCAATTCAATCCAAAACAAAGATTTCATTTGTTTTCTTTTTGATTTTTAGATAACACTTTATCTCAGGGTGAAACACAATCCATCCTAATAATGTCCTAATGTCTTAATCCAAAACAAAATTTTCGAACTTGTTTCTCCCGACAAGTTTTTGGTTTGTTTAGCTTTTGTTAAATTCGACGAAATTTGCCGAAAAGGTATATTTTATACTGTTGTAACATAACTTCAATTGGGTCCAGAAGGTTCCTTAGGAATTTCCTGCAAGATGAGAAGACATGAAGTAAAACAAACCTTTGATTGATTCTTCTAAAAACATTTTGGTATGACTTTCGTCTTAATACAAACCAAACCTTTAAACATCTTTTTCAGGATGAAACCCAACTCGTCCTAATATTTGATTTAATCCAAAGCAAATCAGACGTTTGAATAGTTACTACGGCCAAGTTCTGTTTCTCAGGACGAAATTATATCAGCCCTCATATTGGATTTAATCCAAAACAAATCTTTAACTTGTTTATTGTGCAAAATTGTTGGTTTGTTTGGCTTTCGTTAAAAGGTTAACCCATTATCAAAACGAAACCCAATCCATCCTAATATTTGACTTAATCCGAAATAAAACAAACTTTTTTCTCCTGAAATTTAGTTTTTTGTCCCTCATTAAAGCAGTTAATAAAAACTCTTTTTCAGGGGGAAACCAAACCCATTCTAAAGGGTTTTTTAAGATTTAACTCAACTGTATCCAAAATCTTGACTAAAACCTTAATATTAAAATATTAATATTAAATATTAATATTAAAATATACCATATGGTCTCAAGAACAGAGTGCAAACGGTCTTTATATTTTTACTAAATTTATTTATCCTTGATAATTTGATATATTATTGTGTTCTTTAAACTTTTACCAAATAAATTCTAAAATGTTCATATAAAAATAATGAACAATTACAATTTCTATAGGAGTTTTGAAAATGCATATGCGACCAAAAGCTGGCGTGCAATGTTATAATAATAAATTTTTAATCTAACAAAACAAAAAAATATTTAATAAAAAAAAAAACAAATAATAATTAATGAATTTTTCCAGCTGATTTGTTAATTTCCACATGAATATAAACAATTAAAAATTAGCTAAAAGAACTGAATTATATAAATCATAAGTTATATAAAAAAATATATATTTAAAGAAAATATATATTTCAAAGAATTTAAATTTAAGCTTTTTCAATTTAAGTAAATAATATAAAATTAAAATGCCCATTAATTTGTGAAAATTTTAAACATAAATAAATTATTTGATTTAAGTCTTCTTAAATCGTTTCAAATTTTGACTTATTAATAGTTATTGAAATAAATATTTAAATACATTAAATAATTTAAATTTAAAAATAAACAAAACTTAAATTTATTATTATATTAATAATTTGTTAAAATTTAAACTTTCTTTGTCTAAGATAACTTTTAGATTGAAAACAAAAAATAATTATTTTTAAAACTAATTTTATTTATGTATGTATGCCTGAAATCAATTCTGTGTATGTTTGCAATTACTAAAATAAATGTGTGTAAGTGTGAGTAAACAAATAATTATAAAAATATATAATACATATACTGCAAAATATAAACGCTTTTAGTTATTATTTAATGGGAACTATGTTCAGGTGACATTTTATGCGGATAACTCCGCAACAACATGGAAGAAGTCCAACATTGTTATATTATTTTACCGAAAATTCTGGAAACACATTACTTTACATTTTCAGCTCATCTCTCTGCAATCGCAACGAGACTCTTTAAGCATCAGTCGTCAATACTTGAAAAAAAAAACCTTTTCGCTACCTTGACGACCTCAGGGTCATAAAAACAAACATCATGATCTTCAAACTTTTATTTGAAATGGGATATAGAAACTGAATTCTTGGATGAACAATCATTTAGAACAATTGGAAATCAAAATGTGTATGGGGGTCCGCGAAGTAAAAAACGGGGGAAACGCCTAGATGATTGTACATAGGGATCCGGTTATTTATAAAGAATGTCGTTCTAAGTGAAAGTGATTTGTAAAACACTTTAAATTATGAATTAAAAAATATACATATTTTTTTGGATTAAACAAAATAGTTTTAAAATATTACTGAACAAAATCAACTACCCTAATCGTAATGGAATAAAATAAATATTATTGTAAATTTATATATATCTGTAATATCAAAAAGTCCCCTTTTAGAGATTTCATGTTTCTAGGATCAATATTATAAAAAACACAAAAAGTACCTTTTGAAAAACGAAAAATTGCCAAAAAGTGTCCTTTTATATGTTCTCACTTACTCCGGGCTCTACGTGCATAATTTCATATTTCTTGGTTCAATATTGTAGAAAATTCAAAAAGTATATTTTGAAGAACGAAAAAGTACCAAAAAGTCCTATTTTATATGTTCTCACTTACTCCGGGCTCTACGTGTTTAATTTCATGTTTCTAGGTTCAATATTGTAAAAAACTTCAGAAAGTACCTTTTGAAGAATGAAAAAGTACCAAAAAGTCCTCTTTTGTAGGTTTAATTTCATGTTTCTAGATTCAATATTATAGAAATTTCAAAAGGTACTTTTTGAAAAAGTCCCCTTTTATGGTTTGTCACTCAATCCGGGATCAACATACTTAATTACATGTTTCTAGGTTTAATATTATAGAAAATTCAAAAAGTACTTTTTAAAGAACGAAAAAGTACCAAAAAGTCCCCGTTTAAAGGTTCTCATATAATCCGTGCTCTTCATAATTAATTTTATATTTCTAGGTTGACTATTATAGAAAAGAAGTCCCCTTTTATAGGTTCTCACTCAAACCGGAATCTATTTGCTTAATTTCACGTTTCTAGGTTCAATATTATACAAAAAATCAAAAAGTTCTCACTTAATCCGGGCTCTACATGCTTAATTTCATGCCTCTAGGTTATAGATATATTATTATATCTCATATAAAACTCAAAACAGTACCAGTCGAAGTACGATAAAGTACTAATAAGTTCAATTTAATAGAAAACTCAAAAAGTACCAGTCGAAGGACGAAAAAGTACAAAAAAGTCCCCTTTTATAGATTCTGATTTACTCCGGGCTCTACATGCTTAATTTCATGTTTCTAGGTTTAATTTTAAAGAAAACTTAAAAAAGTACTTACATATGTAGAACGTAAAAGTACCGAAAAGTCCTCTTATTATTAATTTCATGTTTCGATAATATCATAGAAAACTGAAAAAATACCAGCTGGAGAATGAAAAAAGTACCAAAAAATATCATTTCGTACCGAGGTTCCAAAGAACACCCCATTAGCATATTTATTGTTTCTAAATCTACAAATTTGATCTAAATTGGATCATTGGGTTTACATAAAATCAAATTTCGCGTTTTTACTCCTTTTGGTACTTTTTTCCTCCCCATAAACGAAATAAAAATGAAATTCCAAAAAGTTACAACATCGTAGTGGGAGTCCGTTATTATGTATTATGATGGACATTGGATGTGTAACTTAATAAACCAAAAACAATGATGTATGAAAAAAGTACAAAAAAAGAGTACATCAAATCAAATTTCCCGTTTTTACTCCTTTTAGTACTTTTTTCCTCCCCATTAACGAAATAAAAATGCAATTCCAAAAAGTTACAACATGTCGGACGTTGGATGTATTAGTTAATAAACCAAAACCAAAGGGTACAATTTTCACCCCTTAAACATCCGAATATCCAAAAAGTACTAAATTCATATTTTTATTTTTTCGTTAAGTTATGAAGGAGTCAAAAATATTTGTTAAATGTTCCCTGGCTAAAAAGATACATGGGGTGCTTAAAAGTAGCAAAATACAGTTTTTACCCGTTTATTTCATAAAGGGGCCGAATTTGAAAAAAGCACCAAACACCTGTCCTCTTATTTTTTAAATGAACGACACAATGTTGTATGAAAAAAGTACCAAAAAAGGGTACAATTTTCACCCCTCAAACATCCGAATATCCAAAAAGTACTAAATTCATATTTTTATTTTTTCGTTAAGTTATGAAGGAGTCAAAAATATTTGTTGAATGTTCACTGGTTAAAAAGAAACATGGGGTGCTAAAAAGTACCAAAATACAGATTTTACCCGTTTATTTCCTAAAGGGGCCGAATTTGAAAAAAGTACCAAACACCTGTCCTCTTATTTTTTAAATGAACGACAATAAGCTTTATGCTAAACGCACAATTGGAGTGAACGACGAATTTTTCGGAACGAATTTTCGTCGTCAAATATAGAACACACTAAATTATATGAAAATACGCACAATCAGTGCGTATGACGAAATTCATCGTACGTAACGAACTGTGCGATGAATCAGTCAGTCAGTAACGTTAGAATTTTATATATGTATGTATATATATAGATACATGAGTTAAACGCGATCATGCAAACCCTCCTTTAGTAAATAACTGTAATTCTTTTTTGAACACGGTTCCTGTATAAAATTCTTTGTAAAGAATTGAATGAAGTTGAGAAACGTTGTAAAAATATGTTTGCTGAAGAAATGTACATATGTATATTTAAATATCATATACATATGTACGTCATTACATATACGCCTCAATTTCTTCTCAACTTACAATCGGTTGAGATTCAACTAAGTTACTGACTTATAAGAGCTTAAAGGTAAAAAAGTAACAAAAACGAAAACGCGGTTTTTACTTATATGTACCTCAAGATTTTAGAAATGTTTGGCAAATTTCAAACACAGTTTCCTATTCTACTCGGCTCCACCATTTAGAAAAGTGTTATCGCTTCCCAGGTATTTATTTTTGCCGCATAGTGCAATTTTAATCACAGTAGTTAGTAGTGAATTGTCAATCATTGCGATGAAATCACAGTCGTTAAAATATTGGTCATCTCTAATTCCGGTGGTGTGTCATAATGTCCACAGACGTTATGACACACTAAATTGAGTCATTGTGTCCATGGACGTTATGACAATTTCAATTTCGAAATATCCCAGAGTTTAAAAGGTGGCGTGTCATAATGTCCAGTGACATAATGTCCATTGACGTTATGACACACCAAAAAGTGTCATAGTGTCCATGGACGTTATGGCAATTCTTAAACGTGTCATAACGTCCATGGACATTGTGACACTTCTAAAATAAAAATGTATTGGAAAATTTGTTTAGAATTTAGGAAAGGGACAATCTTAACCCGAAAAGAATTGCTCCGAAATTTAATGTATGTTGCTTTTTGGATTCATTTAAAAAAGTGCTCTGGATAGCCGGCCTTCGGGATCAGTTGAAAAAACTGACAAAATTAAAAATTAACAAACTTATTTTTATTGAAGAAGACAGAACTTTAAGGAACTAAACAGATCCCTAATTCAATTGTACGGTGAGATTGTAAAGTTAGTTACTAGTTTCGTACATCCTGTACAAAGAAATGTTTTAACTCTATAGATCCTCTAGAACAAGTTTCAAGGTTGACAAATTTTAACAAAAACCATTTAATAAAGAACTGGTTCCGGAACCATTCCGAAGGTGAGAGTTTTAAACAAAAATCAATATTGATCTGTAACCAGATGTGGAAATAATAAAATTATTTCTGGGAATTACATATTAATAGCATAAAGGCAGGGCATCCTTGGGTGAGCCTGACCCAATTGCTTGGACTTTAAGCTTGTGATTGTTATGGTAACATGATGACATCCCCGGCAACATAGTTATCAATATGCTGTATTCTTTGACTGTGCTTGTATTCCTTGAGTAGATGATATTCCGAATAATAGCTTCAGGAAAGGGTTAAACTTTCCTGTCTTGTGCTCTTGAAAGTATTAGGGCATAATTTTGATAACCCTGAATATTTTCCAATGAGCACCACGAAAGTGATTGAAGTATGTCTATGTGATGTTAGTACTATTAGAAAATATAAAGTTATTATCGATCCTATATAGAGACCTAGTTTTACTTATCATCTCCTCGTCTGATTAGCAAGCGTTAAATAATACATCGAATGATTCTTCTGAGAATTCAAACCAGGAGGTAAATTACCTCATACGTGATCGAATAAAATTTATAATAATTTTCCTTTATGAGATGATGGTATTCGATTTCTAACCACAAATCGAATACCTACATTTAAGTAAAATTTGGATATCGTAATGTTTTCGATAAAAAAGCTTATTTGGTCACCCAAGCGGTAATTTAGTCCTAGGATACGGATTACCACTTTATGCGACTACTGGCCTTTCCTAGAAATCTTTTCATCTTACTCCGAAAGTTTTGACATCAAATTAGAATTAGTTTTCTTTTATTACTTCTACACCAGCAATTGAGTCGGGAATCTTGAGTTGAAATCTTGAGTTTTAAGATTTGTTTTTTCGTTATAATTTGGATATCTAATTTGAAAGAGATCTGTTGCCGTTCATTATTAATTAATAACTCCTCTAAAATACCATTACACATTTTGAATAACCCTTTGATTGATTTATTGTCTTTGCAATTACAGCAAATTTATTTCAAATGATTAGTTTTATCTCCAGTTCGAATGTTTAAACTCTCTTATCACCAGCGTTTAATCAAGTGAAAAAAAATAAGTTATTTGTACACTTGTGCCTATATATAATGTTATAAACGTTTTATTTTATTATACTCAGATTGAGAGTAATAATAACACAGGCCAACAAAATTTGAAAAAAGTCGAAATCTAGATTTCAGTAAACATTTCTAAAAGGAAAATTTAAAAAAATAAACAGAGGGACCAGTATACATTTCTAAAAGATAGATTTCCTCCACATTTCTAAAAGAAAGATTTCCTCCATCAGGTCCATATCGGGTCCTAAATTTTGACCATATAAGAGATGTTATAACAGGACTTTGACATATTTACTTATAAAGTTTTTATATATGTATATGTAATCTGAATGTCCAATCTGTAGAGGCTTTATTTGGATTTAGGTCAACTCAATCTTTTAGAAAAGTATACTTTGATCTCTGGGTTGAAAATTTGTTGGCCTGTGTAATTTATTTATTTGTGTGACTGGCTTTTTTTTTATTATTTAATACATCGAAATGCGAAAAGAGTACAAATGCAAAGTAATATTATATTTAGAGATAGAAATAATCAACCATAACAAAGTAATTCACGTATCGCACGTTTCAGTTCTCAGACCGTCCATTTAGCTTAAGGTGGTCTAACGGAAGAAAACCACAGCTGAAGACAGGCTGTCACGTTTTGGTTTTTTTTATTTGGGGGGATCCACTGTGCCATTTATATATTATTTAATATCTAAACAAAAATGATACGTCACAAAACATTTGGATTTCTTCTTATTTGTCTAACTACGCTGTTGGGCTTAAGTAAACAACAGGTTAAGGCCGATCTATTTCCGTTGTCAATTATACATATTAATGATTTTCACGCCAGGTATATATAAATTAAAAAATAAAATTTTTAAATTTCAGTTTCAACTTTAGTGATTTAACAATTATTAAACATGTTTAATACAAACAAATTATTATTTTTTTGTGCATATATGTATATAATCCAATGTTATTGTAAATTGCAGTAATATACATATGTATTTATGTATATATTACTCACGTGAACGATATTAAATTGAATTAATTGAGATTATAAAAATATCTATTAACCTACGTACATTTGTATACTATGGTTGTTTTTGTATTTTTTGTTCTATTGTGATTTTGTATAAAATTTAAAAATATCGACTCGCTCTGCGTTGAAATTAAATTTTGAAAGTACGATGAAAATTTTAATAGTAAGACTGTGTGCCAAACGGCAGCAAAGTTCTATGGTAAAATAAAATTTTCTTATGGTGGAAAATATTATCACTTTTGCTGTGCCAAACGAAATCTTTTTTGATTACGTTAAATTTTGACAATTGTCACTAATTGCACAAGAAAATCTGCATTTGTTTTAATAAAAGAAGCACTTTTATTGATTTTTATACCCTACACCACTTTAGTGGGGAGGGTATATTGGATTTGTGCTGATGTTTGTAACATACAAAAATATTCGTCCTAGAACCACCTTAAAGCATACCAATCGGCTTAGAATCGTTTTCTGAGTCGATTAAGCTATGTCCGTCTGTCCGTCCGTCTGGCTGGCTGGCTGTCCATGTAAACCTTGTGCGCAAGGTACAGGTCGCAATTTTCAAGATAATTGGATGAAATTTGGCACGCACGTTTTATTTGACCCAAGCCTATTGAAAATGGTTAAAATAGGTCCATTATTTCACCTAGCCCCCATAGAACAGAACCCCCCGAAAAGGGCTTCTGAGCTCATAATTATGCTAAATATACAGATATATCGATAAAATACGGCACAACTAATTTTTATTGAAGTCTTGATGACCCTGCCAAATTTCATAAAGATCGGGCCCCATTTGACCCTAGCTCCCAAACAAAGTCCCCTTCAGAAAATTACTTGAATGTCCCAAATTAACTTATAAACACAAATATCGCGATGAAATTCAGCACAATAAAATATTATGTAAATATAAATATATTGAAAAAATTTTACCGGGCTTGGTCCATCTTTGCCCCTAGCCCCCATATAAAGCCTCTTTCAGAATATTAGTTTTTCATCCATAAATTGCTTAAATGTATCGGAACAAGGGAATATTGAAGATAAATGCTTTATTATGAAAAATAAATCACATTTAATATTCATAACTGGTGTAGGGTATCATATGGTCAGCCACGCCCGACTATACTTTCTTACTTGTTTTATTTGGTGTCGGTAATAATTTCTCTCAGATATTGCAATATATGAGTTGTTATAAATGGGATCCCACCAAAAGAGTGCAAGATTACTTACGTCTTTATCCAACCGATGACAGTCTTATGTGTTGTTGTAGCAGCGACATCGGTGTGGCTGAGTTGATAATCATTGGTCGTTGTTCGTTAAACTCCGAGTTGTTTCAGTGCGATTTATGGCGTGTTCAGGCGAGTATAAAATAGGTATTAAAAGCCGCATATCTCAGAAACTGCAATATCGAGAGTCCTAAAATTTTTTACGAACAACTTTGACATCCATAAGAATAGTTATGGACAAAATGGGCGAAATGGCTATAATCAGTATAGCTGAGAAAATATAATAGTTAGAGTCCTCAAATTTTGTCGGAACCACTTCAGTGTCAATATTTAAAATATTTAAAACAAAATGTGGGTGGACTAGGATTAGGGGGCATGTAACCCCCCATATGAATTAAATACAAAAATTAGTTTATCTGGTAAAGCTATAATCTTCAAATTTTGCACGAAAAACGTTATTTTGGTGAAAATGGGTGAAATTTCATTAGGGGAGGGGGCTTGGAACCACCCCTATGAATTAAATACAAAAATTCGTTTGGGAAACTATTTGAGTTAAAATCTTCAAATTCTGCACGAAAAACTTTAGTATTCAGATATACATTTTAGAGAAAAAGGGCGGACTTTCACTAGGGGGCTTGGAACCTCCCATATGAATTGAATACAAATAATCGTTTATCTGGGAAACTGTTAGAGCTAGAATCTTCATGTTTTGAGAAAAACTTTAATATTCAATTGAACATTTTGGTGAAAATGGGCGGAATTTCATTATTTCATTTCCCCTATGAATTAAATACAAAAATTTGCTTATCTGCGAAACTATAGCTTCAAAATTTACATGAAGAACTTTGACATTCATGTAAACATTGTTACAATAAACGTTTTAACAAATAATTCTAGGTATAAATTACTGATTATATGTGAAGCTTACTATGTTTAAAATAGGCATTATTGTCATTGAACATGTCAACCAAATAAGTATTATTTTTAATTGATATATCAGTTTGTATGTAAGTAGACTATTTAAAAGAAATTTTATTATTAAATACATATGTATTTGGCTATATTTGTCTAAATTGGCTATATTTGTCATATAAATCAATTTTAAATTGGTAACATGTGATAAGAACTGTTTTTTGATTGCGCTCACTAATATTTTTTGTTTATAATTTTACACTTAATTATATTTTTTAGTTTTAATACATAATCTAATCTTTTTGTTATTGTAATTATTTTGGAAAAGATAAGATTTATATTTATTACTAGTGGGTGAACATCATTGTTTTTGAACTCACGTAAATTATCCATTTGATTATTTTTGCAGGTTTGAAGCCACCGATACTTCGGGCGGTACATGTGATGATAATGAAGTTTGTATAGGCGGTTATGCTCGCACTGTTTATACAGTTAAGCGTCTCTTGGAAGAACAAAAGGATACGAACGCAGTTTATTTTAATGCTGGTGATAGTTTTCAAGGTACTTTGTGGTACAATATTGGACGCTGGAATGTAACCAGTCAGTTTTTGAATATGTTACCAGCTGATGCAATGGTATGTGTATTTTGAAATATAGTCTATTTAGCTGTAGCTTTCGTACTTGCCAATGTTTGAAAGGTAACCCAGCAAAAACTTTTAGTAGAATGTAAAATGCGAAAATTTACTGTTATTATTTTAACACAGTGATGTCATTCGAGGAAGGTACTAGTGCTGTTAAAGTATTGAGTAGTGGGTATCGAGTATCGAGTATTTGCCCTATTTTTTGGGTACTCAATACTAAAAAGTAGTTACTCAATACTTTCAGACTTGTATATGGATTTAACTTATTTAAATTTAACGGCTATGATGTGAAAAAATACAGCTCTAAAATCTAATATAGACCATATCATTATTAGAAATGCAACTCTTAGCAATATCAAATCAATGTAAAAATAATTTAAACACTGCAATAATAGTTAAAAAGTTACAAATATTTATCGACGCTATCTAAAAAAATAAAATGTCTCAAAAGAGGTGTGATGTCTATTCTAACTTTACTTAAAAAAAGGAAAAATTCCTCGTTTTTAATTTAAAATAAAACCGTTAAAAGTATCGAGTAGTATTGAGTACCCAAACGAAAAGTATTGAGTAGTATTGAGTAATCAAAAGTAGTAGAATATTACAGCACTAGAAGGTACTTGCCACAAACGCTTACAAGAAAAAGTTGTTATTGTAAATTTTATGAACTTGAAATTAAATTGTATCTTTTTATTAGGAGGCATTTGAAAATTCTTAAATACTAGCAGAAGTTCCAAAAATAATAAAATTATTTTATTGCAGACACTGGGTAATCACGAATTCGATCATGGCGTAGAAGGCGTTGTCCCCTTTTTAGAGTCACTTAACACCACTATGCTCGTAGCTAATATGGATTCTACAAATGAACCTGAAATGACTGGAAAATATCAAAAATCTATGATTATTGAGAGAAGTAATCGTAAAATCGGTGTTATAGGTGTAATTTTGGAAACAACTTATGTAAGATTTCTTAACAAAGTTATAACATTCAAGAGAGTACATATATTTGATTCTTTAAAATTACAGGATTTAGCCAATACTGGTAATTTAATATTTCGCAATGAAAGTGTAACTATTGTAGAGGAGGCGGAGAAACTTAAGTCCCAAGGTGCCAATATTATTATTGTTATCTCCCATTGTGGCTATGAAGTTGATAAACTGATTGCCGAACATGCCGGTGCAGAAATTGATGTTATTGTTGGTTCTCATTCGCATACGTTCCTCTATACCGGAGATAATCCTCCAGGACCTGATAAACCAAAGGGTGATTATCCAACACAAGTTACTCATGCCTCTGGTCACCGTGTTCTAATTGTACAAGCTGGTGCTTATGCTAAATATGTTGGCAATTTAACGGTTTATTTCGATGACGATGGCAATGTTGTTGATTTTGAAGGTGCTCCCATTTATATGTCTAATAGTGTGCCGGAAGGTAAGTCAAAATTTTAAATTTATTTTGATTTTAGTAAAACAAAAACCTTTATTATACATGTTATCACTACTATTTTTAAGTACTTACGGTTGATTTAAAAAATTAAGGGACTGGGAATCTGGTATAGAACTGTTTTTAAAATAGTTTTAATTTATTGCGAATCGCAAAAAAAATCATCTAAAAGATTATTTTCATATGACTCGACACATCGTAGCCGAAAGTTATTCGGATAATCGGCTCTAAATATATCCTAATACTATCTCCCCCCTGGGACAATCCGGTTTATAGTCCCGGTAGACCCCCCGGGCAAAAGAAGTGCTATCAATACCTCTAATCTGCCGTCTAAACTGGTCATGATCAAATGTATCCTCGGCCTTTCTTTGGAATAATTTAGCAACGGGTGGCCAAGGACTGATATATCCAAAGGACTGGATTCTCTCACCCAGTGATGTGACAGAGGAACTTATGCTGGATTCCTGAACCCGTTGAGTATCTCTTACTCTTCGCGTAGTAGGACGCCAGGGGAATTCACAGGTTGACACTTGGTAGTTGCCTGTCCGTAGGTCGTTCTCTATGGTCTGAGAAAGAAACTGATGTAATTGGTGATCGATCGGGAAAGAATTCTCTGCCCGACAGGAGACTAGAACTGATTTAGTAGACCTTTTACTTCAGGTAAGTTCTCGGCGCTGTTGACATCTTAATAGGATTCATATTCATTCATGCTACGCGACTTATTGGGTTCGAATTGACTTTGCGAATTCCTACATCCTTTGTCACATTACATGGATCCTGATTTATTGGTTCGGTATTTCGGACTACCAAATACGTCTCTCGGTGCTGTTGGCGGGCTTTAATAGATTAAGGAATGCATTGGAATGGGTCATTAGTTGATGTGGATTGCATTTTAAATAATGCAATCTATTATGACATCAAAAGGGTGGTCAACTTCCGGTATACCGGAAGATTGATTTCATCTGTTTTTGGGGTAGTCTCCCCTCTAATTGACTTTAGACCAGTGACTGCTTTTTCCTCGTCAGGGTTTGCATTGAGATTGATTCCATATGGCAAGAGATTAGATAGCTCAAGTACTTTAGCAAAGTGGTTGTACATGGACCAGCACAGCCATGTACAAAAAATTGCCACCTGAGTTCTTCATAGAAGGATTTAGGGGAGCGTGGTAGACCGTCTCAAGTCTACCCAGTGGATGAAAATGACCACCGTGAAATAAGCCGTCATGCACTTAGAGATCTAGTCCCGTAAAACTGAAGGTTTCTACGGCCTTTCCTTGGAATAATTTGACCTGGAGTTAAACCAGGGAGCCTTATAACCTGTTACCACGGGAACCCACAGGGCAGAGTTTCAGATTTTGTGTTGTACCTTTCAATAGTAGCCCCTTTGCGGAATGACAGGCAGTATGGGATCAATCCCAATGCAAACCCCGACAAGGAAAATGCAATCACTGGTCTAAAGTCAATTGAAGGGGAGACTACCCCAACATCATGTGAAATCAATCTTCCGGTATACCGGAAGGTGACCACCCTTTTGATGTCATGAAAGATCGTACAAAAATTGCCACCCACTCACCCTGTGGGTAAAAAAAGACCGAAATGAAATAAGGCCAACACGGCATCTATGTATGTCGTCAAAAAGTGCAATCTGTCGATTATAAAATATAGGTCTTACCACTGTTCCCCTTATTTCAAAGTCGTCAGATTGGACTTTTAGACGACACAAATTTTTGTATAAATATGAATGCATATCATCGCGCTGTTCTAGCATCTCAAATATAGACACAATATTTCGATAACTTGATGTGATGGAGCAATTCCGAGGTCAGATGCGGATTCAGTTCAATCCTTTAGAAAAGTATATTTTGGTTTTTGGGTTAACAATTTGTTGTTCGGTGTAACTGCAGTTTTTTTTTATTGTGAAAAATTAATTTGTTCGGTATAGCGAACAAAATGTTAAATATTACTCACTGTTGTGTTCATTGTTAAACGGTTTTGGATGTTTAATGGTGTTTGGTATCTGGTATTTAAATAAAATATTTTTAAAAATGTACAATATTAGTAAACAATATATTTTCCTTTTAGACGTGGAAGTAGTGGATGCCTTACAGCCATGGAAAGTTGAAATTGATGCAAAAGGTAAAGTTGTAGTGGGAGAAACTTTGGTTGATTTAGTAAAATATCCCTGCAGCAGCGAGGAATGCAATTTAGGAAATTACTTCTGTGATGCCATGGTTCATGCAGTAAGTACTAAATAAAAAGAAAAATATTTTTAAAATTTTTTTATTTATTTAAATATTCATGTCTATAGTATTTGCATTTGGCTCCATATGAAGACAAAGCTTGGACTCAAGTACCCATTGGTTTAGTTAATACAGGTGCTTTAAGAGTTCCTCTATATCGTGGAAGTAAGTGAATAACAACACCATATTATACAAATTATGCTTGGACACATTAAATTTATGTATATTTTATCCCCCTTTTCAGATCTTACCTATTCCCACATTGTTGCCATGTCGCCGTTTGAAAACATATTAACTGCTTTCGATTTGCCCGGTGAACGTTTATTGGAAGCTTTAGAATTTGGCGCTAGTAAAATTGATTATGACAAGGGGGAAAATAGCTCCTATATCTTTCTACAGGTATCAGGTTTAAAAGTAACGTATGACTTTAAAAAGCCCATGTATGAACGTGTTGTTGACATGAAAGTACGCTGTGGTAATTGTTCCTATCCACGTTATGAACCTTTCGATATAAACGCAACATATCGTATTGTAGCTCCAAATTTCCTACAAGATGGTGGTGATGGTTACTATATGTTCCGTGATTATGGTACTAATGTACAGTAAGTTTAACTTTACATATATTTTGTTTAAAATTGATATGAAATGAAATTCTTTTCGTTTTTTCAAAGGCCTTACATTACCGATTTGGATGCCCTTTTAATGTACACCGAAAATATTACACCAATTGTTACCGGCGTTGAGGGCCGAATTAAAGTACTTTAATAGAAACTGATGAGCATATGTTAAAGTAAATTATAATTTTTAAAGTACTTATAATAATTTTGTACTTAATAATAAATAACAGTATTTTTTATATAAACATACATATAGATTTTGCCAAATTTGGAATAATTGAAAAAAACTTTGTCATTTTGTTCAATTCAGAGAGTACTATATGTGTACTCTATTAGAAACCTTGTTCTCCAAAATTTCGAATAAAATGACGTCATATCCTACAAAAACGGAAGAGCTTTTAAAGTACATGTAAAAATATACGAAAATCTGCAGGTGTTTTTATACCCTACACCACTATAGTAGGGAGGGTATTATGAGTTTATGCTGATGTTTGTAACACCCACAATTATTGGTTTTACATCCACCTTAAATTACATATATGTCCTTCTGTCCGTCCGTCTGTGTGTCCATGTAAACTTTGTGCTACAGGTCGCAATTTTGAAATTTGATGAAATTTTGCACATACTCTTCTTTTGATCCAAGGATGAACGCTAATAAAAATGGTTGAAATCGGTTCATTATTTCGCCTAGCCTCCATAAAACTGTATCGCCCGAATAGAGCTTTTGAGTTTGTAATAATGTTAAATTTCGTAGAATATATTCAAAAATCGGCAAATCTTGGTTTTATATAAGTTTAAATGATACTACCGAATTCCGTAATGAGCGGGCCTCATTTGATCCTAGTCCCCATACAAAGTCCCCTTTAAACTCTAATATCGCGATGTAATTCTGCATAAATAACTTTAATGTCATCGTAAATCGATCTTCCAAAATTTATATCTCTTTCAGAAAATAATAATAATATATCGGAATTAAGGTCTAATGTTTTATTATTAGAAAAATAATCCAAATTTTTAACATACTCAATAGTGTAGGTTACCATATGGTAGATAGATAGATAGATAGATAGATAGATAGATAGAAGATAGAATAGATAGATAGATAGATAGATAGATAGATAGATAGATAGATAGATAGATAGATAGATAGATAGATAGATAGATAGATAGATAGATAGATAGATAGATAGATAGATAGATAGATAGATAGATAGATAGATAGATAGATAGATAGATAGATAGATAGATAGATAGATAGATAGATAGATAGATAGATAGATAGATAGCTAGGATAGGATAGATATAGATAGATAGATAGATAGATAGATAGATAGATAGAAATAGATAGATAGATAGATAGATAGATAGATAGATAGATAGATAGATAGATAGATAGATAGATAGATAGATAGATAGATAGATAGATAGATAGATAGATAGATTAGATAGATAGATAGATAGATAGATAGGATAGATAGGATAGATAGATAGATAGATAGGATAGATAGATAGATGATAGATAGATCGCTCGCTCGCTCGCTCGCTCGCTCGCTCGCTCGCTCGCTCGCTCGCTCGCTCGCTCGCTCGCTCGCTCGCTCGCTCGCTCGCTCGCTCGCTCGCTCGCTCGCTCGCTCTCTCGCTCGCTGCTCGCTCGCTCGCTCGCTCGCTCGCTCGCTCGCTCGCTCGCTCGCTCGCTCTCGCTCGCTCGCTCGCTCGCTCGCTCCTCGCTCGCTCGCTCGCTCGCTCGCTCGCTCGCTCGCTCGCTCGCTCGCTCGCTCGCTCGCTCGCTCGCTCGCTCGCTCGCTCGCTCGCTCGCGCGCTCGCTCGCTCGCTCGCTCGCTCGCTCGCTCGCTCGCTCGCTCGCTCGCTCGCTCGCTCGCTCGCTCGCTCGCTCGCTGCTCGCTCGCTCGCTCGCTCCTGCTCGCTCGCTCGCTCGCTCGCTCGCTCGCTCGCTCGCTCGCTCGCTCGCTCTCTCGCTCGCTCGCTCTCTCTCGCTCGCTCGCTCGCTCGCTCGCTCGCTCGCTCGCTCGCTCGCTCGCTCGTCGCTCGCTCGCTCGCTCGCTCGCTCGCTCGCTCGCTCGTCGCTCGCTCGCTCGCTCGCTCGCTCGCTCGCTCGCTCGCTCGCTCTCTCGCTCGCTCGCTCGCTCGCTCGCTCTCTCGCTCGCTCGCTCGCTCGCTCGCTCGCTCGCTCGCTCGCGCTCGCTCGCTCGCTCGCTCGCTCGCTCGCTCGCTCGCTCGCTCGTTTGGCCGGCTCTGCCCTTTTCTCTCCGTCCTCCTTCCTTCGCTCGTCTTCCCCCCCTTTTTCTGCTTCCCCCCCTTCGCCCCCCCTTCGTTGTCCCCCCTCTCGTTTCCTTTGTCCTCCCGGTTCCCTTTTCCCATACAAAAAACTTTGTGCATTGTTTCAAATCTATTGTATTTGCTGACATTTGGTCTGTTTCTTTTAATTTATATTTGTTTTTAGCTTATATCTTGGAAGCAGGTAGAATAGAGGTTAAACCTTTATTTTAAAATGGAAAGATAAAACTTTTAGACTAAAAAGCAAATTTAATCATAATACACGTTTCTTTGGACCGTTTTAACGTCTCACGTATGGCTAAAAATATTATGTTTTTCATTTAAGAAACACGATGGAGAAATTCTGAGACCAGATAGGATTTCGTTGAAAAGTTTACTTTGGTCTCTGGGACTACACCAGCATTACCCCGAAGCAAGAGATCAATGCAAATATATATGTTGGAACCCCAAAAAGTCCATAAAATCGAAAATATAGTTGATATAAAAATCAATACAAAATATACTTTCCTATATCAATTTCATAAAAATAAAAAATTTAAAAAAGTTTTTGTTTGGAATAATTTTTTATAGATAAAGAAATAAAAGAATTTATACCAACGTGGAAAAGTATAATAGAAACAGCTGGTAGTGCAAAAACCGGAGAAACTATAGTGAATTTAGAACATACAGATTGTGAATATAAAGAATGCAATATTGGAAACTTTTATACCGATGCAATGTTAGATAAAGTAAGTGGAATAGTTTGAAATATTATTTCACTTATTTTAATTATAATTTAAACAATATTGCAGCTCATGACTTTATCACCATATAACAGTAGCAACTGGACCAATATTTCCATAGCCTTGGCTGCTGCTGGCGAATTGTATTTAACGCTGCCACGTGGAGGTAACTTAATGAAAGGTTTAATACAAAATCAAAAAATAAATATATAATGATATTCCCTTTTAGCTATTACTTATGGACAAGTTTACAGTTTATGTCCATTTGAAGCTCCCCTAGTGGCATTTGATCTAGAAGGAATACATTTGAAAGCAGCTTTAGAGAAAAGTGTTTCCCGTATCAATTTTCTAAATAATATTAATGCCACTAATACATTTTTACAAGTGTCGGGATTAAAAGTCATATACAATTTGTGGAATCCCGTAAATAAAAGAGTGCTTAAAGTAAAAGTTCGTTGTGCTGACTGTAATGTTCCTATTTACGAGAATTTGGATGTTAATAAAGTTTATCGGATTTTAACGACACGTTATGTAGCCGGTGGAGGTTATGGATTTTCGATTTTTAAACAATACGGTCAAAATCGACAGTAAGTTTTAAATAAAAAAACAAATCATTTACAGGACGTATTGTAATAAATTTAAAAATTAATTTTTCAGGGAATATTTTACAGATATGGCCTCTATAATGGAATACGTAAATAAAACTTCACCAATTTATACAGGACTTGAGGGACGCATAAATATTTTTAATGTTGTATAAATAAACTATTTTAATTTAAAGTTTTATTCAGAATTTGATTCTTCGTTGTTTTATAGTTAAATGTTTAAACTATTTAGTTGATTATTAAAAAAGTTGTGTAAATATAATATCTTCAATATATGTAACGATTTTAAGCAAAATTAATGGGGTTCGTACTTTAAGGTGGTTATAATACTAATATTTCTCTTTATTATAAACATCCATAATACCTTACACACTATATAGTAGTGTAAGATATAAAAACGAGATCCATAAAAGGGAAGACACAACAAACTGCCATTGCCGATCTACCGGGATTTCAAACTTTGAATATTTAAGGAATATGATGGATTTCTTTTTATGGGGTATTGACAGAATGTGATTGAACTTACTGTTTGATGTTTTCCTTGATATTAATATTTAACATTTTATTATTATAAATTTTAAAAATATAGAATTTTTATTTTTGGCTATTTAGACTTATCAGTTACTGAAGCTTTAAAGCCGTGGCGTCAGGAAATTGATTCCGTTGGAAATCGTGTGATTGGACGTAGTGCAGTATATTTACAACAAAAAGAATGCTCCACTGGAGAATGTAATTTGGGCAACTTTGTTACGGACGCAATGTTACATGCGGTTAGTTCACAATTTGTGAAAATGTCTTTAAAAATTAAGTACAACGCATAAAATTTTCAGTTTCTAGAAGAACAAAACTATGATGGCCCTAATTGGAGCAATATAACTATAGCATTTACAGCACAGAGTCATTTTCGGGTACCTTTAGAGGCTGGAAGTATGTTTACAAATTATATTCTCTAAAAAATTAACAAAAACAACTATATTTTTAGATTTAACTTACAATCACTTGATAACCATGTGTCCATGGGAAAATGATATATTTGTTGTAACCCTAAATGGTTCCGTAATACGAAAATTATTGGAAGATTGTATAGCTCCTTTAACTGCAGCTAGTAATTATTCTTATAGATTTCCCCAGGTATCTGGTTTGAAAATTGTTTACAACATTACAAATCCCATAGGCCAAAGGGTTCAAGATTTAAAAGTTCGCTGTCAGGATTGTATGGTTCCAAGATACGTGAAATTAGATTTGGAAAAAGACTATAAAGTAGTTCTTATGGATTATTTGGCTAACGGTAAAGATGGTTTTAATTTAATTAAAGATAACGCCAAAGATTTCAGGTAAAGTTTTGTTTTAAATCATATCGTTTTGTAAATTGTTATCATTCTATATATGTATTTTAGGAGAGGACCTGGTGACTTAGATGCCTTAATGAAATTTATTAAAATTCATGATCCTATTATAGCCGGTATTGAAGGTCGCATTAAAATTGTATATTAATTTTTTTAATTCTCTTTTTAACTTTATCAGTACGTTATTCATTTTATATAACAATGTTTTTTTTTTTTTTTTTCAATAAAAATTTCTGCAAACAATTGTTTTTGTTAATTTTTTGAGATACTGAATCTCATAT